GAAAAGCCTGTAAAAAAAGCCTTGGAAAACGTATAGATCACTCTCTAAAAGACAAAACAGCAATCCAAGAAACAAAAGACAAATTAGAGACTTGGTTAAAGAGAGTTGATAAGTCCGCCTTGCCAGGCCGATTTAAAGCTTGGATTTATCAGCATGCCACTCTTCCCAAAATCTTATGGCCATTGTCTATTTATGTTGATACCAATGCTCTGTAACTTCCTTTCAGAAGTCTAGTAGAAGAATTCAAGGTCACCAAAATTAGAACAATAACGCAGTATGAGTTATCCAAAGGTGGCTGGAGCAGGCATTGAAGTCTACTCAGGAAGGAAATGGAAAGCAGAGAACGAATTACGTGTTGCTAAAAAAAGGCTCTGCGAAAAGGCCATATTAGGCACTGTGGCTACTGCATGTGTGGGCTTAGGGTTTTTTCCTACCATTCAGGTGGACAGAGCAAAAGGTAAAGAAAAGAACCTTTTAATACAAGAAGTATGTAAGGGTTAGGAGCAGAAAAGGATGACAAAGATAGTAGGACTAAGGCAACAAGGTGCGTGGACCAATTGGGGATCCATGATTTATAGGAAAATCAAATGGTCTGATATATGGTTTAATGATATCCATATAAAGTTCCTAATTCAGACTATATGACATCCTTCCCAGTCCTAACCTCTACTTATGTTACAAAACAGAATTGCCCTTATGCCAATTGTGCTTGCGTCAAGGAACTCTAAAGCATATTCTAAGTAGCTGTTAAACAGCACTAACGAAAGGCCAGTACAAATGGAGGCATGATGAAATTTTAAAGGATATAGCAAAGATAGTTAGTATGGCCATCAGCACTAATACTTTAAACCTAGATAAAAGATCTCTAGAGTTTCATAGAGCTGGTGAGAAATCTAAAAAAGGAAAAGAACACAGCAAATACTCTGCCATTGGCAACAGACTGGGAATTAAGGGTCAACTTAGGAACAATACTAAAATTCCCTGACAGTGCCTTGGGAAGAGCATGCAGAGGAAGCCCACGAACGGAAGAGGCTAAAATATGCTGAATTAATAATGAGTTGTAAAAACAATGTAGAGAAATCAAGTTGTTTGCCAAGCGAGGTGGGTGTAAGGGGTTTTGCTGCAAGGTCCCTATGCAAAGCCCTAACTGATATTGGCTTAGTAGGTGCTAACAAAAGAAAGGCGATTCGGACCATAATTAATACAGCAGAAAGGACAGCAAAATGGTTATGGATTAAACGTGATAGCTTTTGGACTTCAATGTAGCAAAATAGTTAAAATTATCAAGTCGGGTAAATCTGTAAATAGTAGTTATCAATATAATTGTAACATGGCAATAATATAAACATCACCTTTTTATGTTTGAATACACAACTTGAATTGTACAGGTACAGTCAACGAATATATCATGTCATATGTATTTTTTATGTTAAACCCAATTTATACGTGGTAATTTTATGTTACTATTTACCTTTTTAGCATTTTTGGCATGACACATCTTGTAAGGTATTTTGTCTTCTATTCTCATTTTTTTTTTTTTTTAAATTTTATTCTTACACGCACATTTTGCATATTTTAATCAGAATCATAACACGTACACAGTGTATTTATAGAGTTTTTTCTCTATATATCGTATTATTTTTATTTTATTTTATCAGTTTGTTATCGGTTTTAAGCTATGCATATATATATAATATATATACGCGTATAATATAAAGCTGCGTTATTACTTATTTTATTTTAAAGTATATAAGAATGTATTGTAAAGCAGATCGCACTTCTTTCATAGTATAATTTAATTTCAAGAGTATTTTGTAGTTTATTGTATTTAAACGACTTCAAATTTGTAAATAGTTTTAAATCAATGTTACAGAATATTATGGTGTTTTATTTATTTTTTCTATTTTTATTTTATTTTTTATTTTTTTTGTGTACAGTCAAAAATATATGGCGTGTTTATGGACAATTATTTTCATTTTGTGAATACATCCATTTAAAGTTAACTGACCTGTAATAATATTAAGAATCAGGCTAAATGATAAAAAAATGTGATAGTTGAATTTAAGTTTCCCGTCTCTAAAAAGAAAAAAAGCACAAATAAAATAAAAACTGCAAATATTTAGAGTAAGACACTATACAATACTTAGGGTAGGTACCTCCACGAAATCGCTAAAAAAAAGAGCATAGCTTGATGAAAAAGACGCCAACCTTGCCGAAAACAAAATTTTATTGTCTAAATGCTTATGTTATTATTTTGAGGAAAGACCAAAGTTTTTTTTTAATTATTTTTAAAAAATTTTCCTTCTTTTTAGAAAATTCTAAATTTTGATTAAAAAAAACCTTGTTTCTATTTGTATCATCGGAACTAGTAAATAACATAGACAATTTTTAGCACGTTTTTTTGGTATGACACACATTAATTTGAAAAATCGTGCAAAAATAGAAATAATTATCGGATGTTAATGAAACTTTCAGGAACTATTCACAGATGATCGAAATTATTATAAATATGTTTTTTTTATGAAAGTCATGGTAGAAATATTTTTAAAAAATATTTATTACCCCCCCATAACTAATTTTATGAAAACGCTAGAAATTCGATCGCATCGGTTTTAGTGATTACAATAATTAAAAGCACAGGGCTTTGAGGAATGCAAATCATGTTTTTTTTTGTTTTTAATTGGATACCCAGTACCTGAAAATCAGCTCTGAATTGTAACATACAAAACTCAATAAAACAAAGATATTATTTAATTTCAAATGCTTTTATTTGCTTTTAGTTGTTTTTATGAATATGGACAATATTTTCTGAAAGCAAAAATTTTTTCGATGAAAAATGAATTTTTAATACAATTATTTGTTATTTCATTAATTATAATAGATTTTACATTTAAGTTGTTAAAATATTATAAAATTAGTTAAAAAAGACTTTGGCTTTCATAAGTGTCCTTATGAGATAGATCTTTTTTTTAGCGTTGTAAATTGTATCATTTTGACTAATCAGAAGATCCCCAGTAATTAAGAAATGTAATTTTTGTGCTTATAATCGAGCTGTAATTATAAAATACGGAAGACCAACCAGAATATAATTAAGTTTCGTTATTTGAGTTAAGCATTGTTCTCCGCTGTTAAGGCCTTTACTTTTTTGAAACACGTGTGGAGAAGTTAATTTGATTTTTTCAATTTCAACTGAGAAGGTTACCTACAAGTATCAGTATCATCTTATGAAATTTATATGATCTTATTTTATATTAATCTCAGTTACGACATTTTTCCATAAATGAAATATCAAATTAATAATAAAATGAATGCAAATACAAATAACAGTAGAATGTAATAAATGTACATAAAATTATAGTATTTTATGTACAATTCTGATAAAATTTCATAAGAAAGGTACCTATAAATTAATTAGATACCTTTCTTAAGAAATATGAAATTTAATGTCCTCTTAACAGTTTTATTTTAATTTCTTTACAATATATTTCCCATAAAGCATCATAAACGTAAAGGTGAAAGCTAAGTACAAAAAAAAAAAAAAAATTAGACCGCTGAAAGTTTTCGTTAAAAAAATACAGGGTAAATAATTTGTTCACGTAAATGTAAATTATTTCACTTTTCTCCTTTGTTTAGAACAAATTAGCCTCTCGGGAATCCGTCAATATGTCATTCATCACATGTCAAGTGACGCGAAAGTTTATGACCTGCTTTGTTTTATTTTCAAATTACATCTTTTTGGCACAAAAGCTAAGTTAAGTTTGGTTCAAAATATTTTAAATAAACATTATAATTTCTGATTTTCTTAAAATAAGTTTTGAAAAAATGATAATTGATATTTAAAAAACTTCAAAGTCAGATTTCCAGTTTTTTTAAAATGGAAAAAAATGGTCAATTTTGCTGACTCAAAAAAAACTAGATTTTTAACGAAAATTTCGGACGTGCTAGGAACGATTAAAAAATGGAAAAAAATACCCCAAAAATACTTTGACCTTTCCTCTTAATGAATAACAAACATTTAGACGATAAAATTTTGTTTTCGTCAAGTTTGGCGTCTTTTTCATCATGCTATGCTCTTTTTTTAGCGATCTCGTGGAGGTACCTAACTTAGGGAAAAGGGTTAAATTTAGGAACATTAAGATTACCTCCTTGGTTATCAATTGAAACTGCTATCCATCGAAAAAGAAAAGAAGCCAGTCCCCACTGTAGACCATTTAAAAGATAGTTTTCACAGCTGATTGGTTTTTACAAACATCCAATTGGGTGTGCGGAAAACGTGGTCTTTCTTCATCTAATTCATTAATAGACCAGAGTAGCTGTTAGCGCTTGATTGAGAGGGGGGATCAGGGATTGATCTCCCCTGATTGGGTCGACTTGGTGATGGGGAGTATGATGTTGAAAGACCTGAAACTCCCTGATGAACCAAGTCAAATAACATCACTGATGACCCCCTTGGGTGCCTATGTAAGAGCATATTTTTGAATTTCTTTTCCCCCCAAAAAACCTTATATTGAAATTTTTGTCTTTCTTCCCCTTTTTTTCTTTCTCCCTTTTAATATTAAAACTTTTTTTTCCTTTTTCTTTTTTTTTTTTTTTTTTTTTTTTTTTCCCTCCTTTTTTTCCTTTTCCTTGTGTCTGAATAAATTGAACTCCATTTATTAATGAAAAACTGGTCTGAAGAAATGGACATGAGGTCCATGAAATAAATTTATAACCTAACCTGATGGATTTTTGAGGATTCTGTATTCATTATTATAGTTGCTCTGTTCTTACATTGAGCTCTCTTTGGATTTATATCCTCCTTGGAATTATCCCTACTAATCATCAATATCTATCTATCTATAAAAAGTTGGATCTTAAAACTTTGATTAATGTGTAGACCATTTGGTTTTAAATTATCTTTTGAGAAACACCTGAATTTTAAGATATGAATAATTATTTGTATCTTAAAGCCTATTTTTCTTTCTCTTGCTTTATAAACTCACTTTTTTATCTGTTTGCAGGTACCAAGTGATTAGCACTCCTACTGATATCTTTATGGTAATGGAATTTGTTTCAGGAGGTGAACTGTTTGATTACATTGTCAAACACGGGAAGGTAGGAACATTACTTTTAAGAATTCCTATTGCTTACATCTACATATACTTTTCTCTCTATCAGTCTGTGGATATGTATAGATGTCTTGTCTAAATATTTTGTTGGTTGATTTTGGAGATATATATATGCACTGTTTCAGATGGGTACTTTCTGACCTTCTTCAGATGTCTGTGTTCTAAACTGTTGTCTATTAATCTAAAAGGATGTGAGGGTGATGTAATTGATAGCAGCTCGGAATGAGAAATTGGAGAGCCGAGTTTGAATTCCAGTCTGGTTTGTTACATTCACTTATGGGCATATACCCATGGGAAAGGTATGAATCCATTTCCTCCTGCCTATGGGTTAAATAATATATGCATCTACAAAAGTCATTGTTATTCTAAAAAATTGTAAATGCAACATTCACTTGCAAATAAAAAAAAATATTCTTACAATCGAAAATGTTTGGAAGATTTAAATAATCCATAAAGTATTGATAAACTGTAAAAAATAATAAATCAGTTTTGGTCTGAGAGCATATGCTTCTCTTCTCATATACACACCACATGTTGTTTGTGTATTTTTGGGATTCTCTCTTCTATATGGTACTTGTGACCTGTTGAAATTTTGCTCCTATCTTCCAGGCTATGCTTGGCCTACTGATCAAGTTATGGATATAGTTTGTACATGGATCAGCATTAGATAATGAAGTAGTTGAAAGAATCTGTGCATAAACTATACTCAACCATCTTAATGAGCATAGACGTTAATAACTTGTTGAAACCATTAATTAGGAAAGAACAAGAAATAAACTTTGGATTCCAACAGCATGGCTTGAGGGATATGAGATTTTACAAGGTTCAATGTATGGTCATAAGTTAAATGCAGACATTAGGAGGGAACACTGCCAAGAAGACAGAGATGCAAGCTTTGGATCTGATGTGTATGAGAGATATCCATGCTTGTTCAGAACAAGATTTAATATTCCAGAACACAGCCAACACCAGTGGGAGGCTGAACATTACACACCCAGAATGTTGGGCCAGGAGAGGACAACAAAAATAAGGAAATTAATTTGAACCAACTAATATACAATGTATTGATTTGTACTTTCTTCATCTTTTTGTATGCAAATCTTTAAAAATTACTTTCTAATTTATTGTCTTTTTAATTCTTGTTCCAGCTGAAGGATAATGAGGCTCGTAGGTTTTTTCAGCAAATTATTTCGGGTGTAGACTACTGCCACCGTCATATGGTGGTTCACAGGGACTTAAAACCAGAAAACCTCTTATTAGATCATCGGCTCAATGTGAAAATTGCTGACTTTGGTAAGTGGTTTCAATTTTTTTAATTTGAATATTTTTTTTTTTTTTTTTTTTTTTTTTTTTTAAATCATGTCTATTCAGGAAGTGGGGGATCATGGCTGTCCACACATTCTGTTTCTCTATCTGTGAATTGCTATGACTTCTTAGGAAAGACTGAATAATCTATGTATTTTAAATCACATTCAGGTTTTAGTGGATCATGGCTTTCTACAGATTCCTTTTTTTCTTTATCTGTGAATTGACAATACTTCTTAGAAAACATAGTGGAGTAGTTTCTCAATGCCTTCTCCTGTTTCAAAACCAGTTTTCTTTCTCTTGGACTGGTTGCCATCCAAGGCTCAATTCATAGCTGGTGGGGAGAAGACTGATTCATGCCTTCTCCAAGTGAAAGCAGAGGCTAGGCTGGAATTTGAACTTGGCTTGCTGAATCCGCTTTCTGTTTTGATAATCATACGCTATGCACACAGCAAATAAATTACAAATTATTTATCACAAAGATTCAGTCTTCATAATCGAATATACATGCACCTACACATAAAATTTATCACTTGCTAATCTATGCAAATCTTCAGTCATTTCCTTTTTATTAGACAATTCATTTGTTTCATTCCAAGCAAGGCAATAAGATGCAGGGGCTTACTGAGTGCTAGAGAAGATGAGAAAAAAATCAATGTTAAGTGAGAACAATAAAATAACAAGAATTAAGAAAGAAAATAATGATTGACATTGCATTTAAATTTTTGAAGATCAAAGTTAACTGTGGAGCAAGAAGACAGGAGAGTGTTCCACAAGTGTAGTAAAAGAAATTATTGGCCTCAAACTTATGATTACATCTCACCATTTCAATGGTAAAACCTTGTTACTAATCTAGTAATGTGCTTAAATTCATAAAGTCAAGGTATCATCGTGGAAAGTTCGTCAGAACAATTACTGTGAAAATATTTATACAAAAGGTACAAGGAAGTTACATTATGACAGTGGAAATGTGACTGAAGCCAAGAGGCCTGATCAGGACCAATAACATTGCAGATTCTTCTTTGGATTTTATTAAGAATCTTTAAATATATAGCATTTTCAATGCTTTCAGCTACACGTTTTTTAATAGCAGCTCTTCTTGTATTAGCTTCTTTCTGTTTTCTTTGAACTGCTCTCTCTCTTCACAGCCTCCTTTTCTTTAATATCTATAAACAATGCATTGTCTTGATTCCTCTTCAGAAAGAGTGGAATGTTTTGTTTTCTGCTCTGGTTTTGAATTCCGGATTGATGTCTTAGACTAGTTGCTAACCAAGGCTAAATAACCTAATCTTCCCACCTAAACAGCGTCTTTAATTTGTCGTGCTTTGTAATCTTCAAAGTGGATGGAAGTTTTGATGCATCTAATATATCCTATTTCTAATTCTATGAACAATTTAAGTTATATTCATGTAGTATTCTAAATAAGGCTTCAAAATGTCATAGAAATGGTTATTTATCATTCCTAACCATAGTTCAAGGAATTGCTTGTTATTGTTATTAAAAAATCCTCAGTTTCCTGCAGAACTCATCATATCAGTATCATATTCTCTATACCTGGTGCTGTAAAGTCAAATGTCTTTTTAGGATGAAGGTGATAATTATAAGTTTATGAAAAAAAAAATCAACTCTTAACACTAGATCAGAATGGAATGTATGGTAACTCTTTCTAAAAAAAAAATTTAAAAAAAAAAAAAAAATTACATCATTGTATACATTATGTGGATGATTGCCCTCTAATTTGCTGTTATTATAATGTTTCAGTCATTATGTCATCTGACCTTTATCAGGTGCCTGTTGATCTGGGTAATTTTTTGATTAAATAAAGAGTTCAGTTTGAAATTCCTTGACGGTTACCCAGATCAACAAGCACCTGATGAAGGCTGAAAGGTCCCAACATCCGAAATGTTGTGATGATAATGATCTAAATAAATCATTGACACTTGAAGTTATTTTGAATTTACTTAGTTCACTAGATGTTTCTTTTTATAAGTCATTATTATTTTTTTTTCTTTTCTCATAGGACTTTCAAATATGATGACTGATGGTGAATTTTTGCGTACTAGCTGTGGTTCCCCAAACTATGCAGCCCCAGAAGTGATATCTGGCAAGTAAGTCTGTCTAGTATTTAGCTCAATATTTTATAACCAATTAATGACTGAATTTCATGTTAGTTACAATGATAATATTTTTTTTTTCTTAAAGAATAAAAACAAGAACATAAGGAAATAGAATGAAATAAAATTGGTTATACTACATGAATTAAAAAGAAAATTACTTAAAATTTCCACATTCCATCTTCAGCAACGTTTCCTTTTGCTGAATAATCTTAACTGATGTTTGTGTTTTTCTGTCTCTTCCCCCTCCTCTCCCTATACATATGTAATCCCATCAGTAAAAATCTTACTTTAGCCTGATGAAGTCTTTTTAGAGGACGAAATGCACTACACAAAAGTGAAATGATTAAAAAAAAATTTGTTTTTCAAAGTAACAGGCCACGTCCAAATTTTGAGATTATATTCAATGTTCAGCTTAAATTTTCAAAATCATTTTTTTTTTTTTACATGTCAAACGTTCCCGTTAAGAGTTAGCTCCCTTGCACTAGTGATATTATCACATATTTAAACATTCACATACGAAAACCTTGCAAATAACAGTTAAGTGGATTTTTCAGTGCATCCGCATGTGGTACAAGGTCAGTTTAAAGTGGGTTTACCAGCAATACTGTGGAAAAAAATTGCTCACACCCTATCAGGGACAACTCAAGCACCAGGCAATAAACTTAGCCCCCTTCCAAAAGAGAGGTACTGCCTGGTGGGAGTGGGGATTGGCTTCAGCTTAATATTATGAAACTTTTCCTGGCAAAAGTGTCGGGTTTATTGGCATTGACTGAACAGCCAGTGCCACTGTCAGTTTAAATTTATAAGATCTTTCTATTAAACACTTTTTCAGAAGAATAGGTTTCTCAAGTTCACTGTTATTGCTGTTTCCAGTACTAATGAGATTTTCCTTACTAACCTTTTATCTGAAGTAGTTTCCTTAGTTTTTTTTTTTTTTTTTTTTTTCTTTTTTTTAAAGATTGTATGCTGGGCCTGAAGTAGACATTTGGAGTTGTGGTGTTGTTTTGTATGCTTTATTATGCGGAACGGTAAGTTACTCTTATGTTAACATTTTTTTTTTTTTTTTTAATTATCGGTTTCACTTGATAATAACTAGAAGCTTAAGAGACTTAATATTTAAACTTTTTTCTGGATTTCTGAAAATAAAAATAATTGTTGCACATTGATGTGTTCAGACTAATGTACATATCATTTTGACTGTTGTACTCTCCAGTCTTCTGCTAAATTCCTAGAACTTCTAAATTGAACACTTTATTCAATTTAGAAAGGTAGTCTTCTTTCTGATGTCTCTGTTATAGAAACTTGGAAGTGTGTGTAAAATCAGTATTCTGTTTGTCTCAATTTCTGAGATAAGAAATTATTATATATTGATGTATTCAAATTAATGTACTCATTTTGGTTATTATGGTCACCATATGTTCAGACATTGTATTCTCCCTTTATATGTCTGTCATATTTAAAAACATTTTTGACAAAGTTTAGAAAATGGACCTACAAAAAAAAAAAAACAATGTGTGAAAAGAACTTTCTTTTTTCTCTTGACACTTTTTACTGTATATTCATCTCGGTAATTTTTATTGTTTTAAAACGCTATTTTTAGAATTTTAATAAGACATGAACATAAAACATTTTGTTTTTTCTTCTTGAGAAATAACAAAAATGTTACACTATTACATTGTTTATTTACAGAAATAATTTTATATTTACAACATTGACCACAATACAATATTTATAATTTACATTATCCAGGTAAGATGAAAATGAATAGAGTACAATTTCGTAAAATTTAATTTAAAAGAGGGCTCAATACAAAGTAGAGCAATATTATTTATTTTAGGATATTACATCGAAAACATGTCAAAATCACTACACAATGTTTTGATGTGTATCAATGCATCTCCTCAGGCAATTGTAATTTACAATTGCTTGATGAGATGCATTGATATCATCAGACCAAACTTAGAAAAATTTTTCCTTAAAGGGCTGAACAAGTTAATATACTGGGTAAGAGAGAGGGTGATTAGAATTAAGAGTTACAGCAAATTGTAACTACCTGACATATTAACTTAAGGTAAAATTTATTTTCTAGGTCATTCTATTTATTTTTGCTATTAGCTCATCATTTATTTTTTCTCTCTCTCTCTCTCTCTCCCTTTTCTTCCTTTTTTATCCAGATACAAAATGATGAATATTAAAATATTCATGAAATAAATTATAACCAAAATGGAGTTTTAAGGTTTTTTTTTTTTTTTTTCTTGATTTATTATTTTATATGTATATATATATATATTTACACACACACATAGTGGGGAAAACTATAACATGTGACTTGTTTTCAATGATGTGACTACATGTGAAGGAGAGAAAGCTGAGAAATTAAAATTTTAATTAATTTTAAAAATTATTTTTTTAAATGTTTTTTATTTTTATAAATATGTTTTCGATATATAGTATGTTTCATTTAATTTCTTTTTCTTCTTTCTCCTCTTTGCGTCACTTTTGTTATACATTGTGATAATAGATCTGCCAAGAAAGGTGAAATCATGTAAAAACATGAACACCATTGAATTAAAGCACTTTCTATATATTTTCATTTTGGTAAACTGCTTTCTCTTTCAATTAGCAAGTTTTTAAATTAAAATTATAGTCAATCATTATGTTGAGCAACTAATGTATTTAGTGTGTTGTTTTGTAAAAGATCACTTTTGTGTTCATATAATCTTTTATTTAAATTCCTTGAGGTTTCTTCTATGTATTCTTTGTGGCAATTGTTACCGGCAAAACACAACACACAAAAACTTTTTCCACTTTCTCATAGTTTTTATTTTCTTTCTCTAAAATTGTTCTTGATATAAAAAATGTATACATCAGTTTTCCTCTGTGTGTGTGTGTGTGTGTATATATATATATATATATATATATATATATATATATATATATATATATATACACACAATTTTTTTTTACTGTTTTATGTTTGAGGCAGTTTTGTTCCTTGCCAGTACAGACTTGCTAAAATTAGAATTTTATCCTAACAAAGATATTCACACTGAATAGTGTCTGTGTTTGAAATTTGTTTCTCTTACTTTCAAACACTATTCATGAAGAAATGTTTTTTTTTTTTTTTTTTTTTTCCAGCTTCCATTTGATGATGAACATGTTCCAACTTTATTTAGGAAGATCAAATGTAAGTAAAAGTAAAGTCTGACATAAAAAGGAGCATATATTTAACGTAAAATTTTGCTGTGATTATTGCCAAACACTTCATCAAGTAAAGACATAAAACTTTCTCAAAAATACAAGTCAGTTTTGAAAATACTTTGATACATTTTTTTTACCATCACACTGACTGTAGTAAGGGCAAAGTGATTTTCTAAAAGAATCTGATTAATATAGAAAAGAAATTAATGAGAATAATTATAGATTCTTAAATACTGTAGGATTCTGGTTGAATGTCAAATTTGGTAATTTTATGAATGTGTTTAAGAAGAGCAAATAAAATCCTGAGATGCAGATGAATAAAGACTGTTTTGTGTTTACTATTCTTGATGGCATATAGGACATCCCCCCCCACCACCACCATCAAAAAAAGTTATCTGAAAGATGGCAGACAAAAAATGTTTGTCAATAAATTTATCACTAAAATAAAATGTCTTAGTTTCACTTTATAAACAGAATATTTTGAAGCATCTCAATAATAGAAATCATAAGATTAAAATAAATGTAATAAAAATAAAATATTAATAGAAGTAATCAAGATAGCACAAATAGTTAACAATTCATTCTCATAAACAATGAACATAAACAGTTTTTCTTACTGTTGTATTTGATATCATAAAAAATTTAAAACAAAACAAATTCTAAAAATATCTCCTGACTTTTATATGGAAATTTGACACATCTGGTACCAGTAATTGTTTATAGCCTAACTTTGTAATAATCCCAAATAAATATCTAGCTCAGTGTAAAGTGTGTTAAAAATTAAATAATTATTTAAATTTTGATTTTTTTAGATTTAATCTAAAATTTAAATAGAGATAAATGATAGATTCAAGAATATATTAATTGGAAAAGCTTTCTGTATATTTTTTTTTAATCATTTCATCCTAAGCAAGGCAATAAATCCACTAAGACATAAGGGTTACTAAGTGTTAGAGAATATGAGAGAAACTATTATTAAGAAAGAGGACAATACAGAAGTTACTGATTGACATTGTATTTAAATTTTTGAAGATCAAAGTTAACTGGGAAGCAAGAAGTGAGTTTCACAGATGAGAAATGTTATACTATTAGCATTGAACTGACATCTAGCCATTTTGACTGTAAAATGACGAGACCTTGCCGCCAATCTCATACTGTGCTTAAATTCATAAAGTCTAGGTACCATGGAGAAGAGAGATTTATTCTGTTTAATACAGAAATGTGGCACATGTCTGAAAAGGGGATTGGAGAAAAGGACGGTTTTCTTCTGTCTTAACTATAACTTAGCTAGCCGCAAACACTGACCTAATTGTACGAACAATATTCCTTACACCAAAACAACACATTCATACGTACCTTTCTTACTACAACCACCATAATACCTCTTTGTCTCTATGAAAATACTAACTAGTCCTCATATTTACAATTCATTGTCTGTGGGGGGAGGGGAATAAAACAACAATTCTAAAATCTAGCCCCAATGAGTATTTACAATATGAATACAAAAACTAGCATAGAGAAGAGCTCATCCAAACAATTACCATGTAAGTATTTATAGAAAAGGCACAGAAGCTATGTTATGGCAGTGGGAAAGAGACTGAAGCCGAGATGCCTAACCAGGAACAATAACATTGCAGATTCTTTGTATTTTATCAAGAATTTCTTAATATTTTGTAGGAGCACCATATCTGGCAGCAATATTCAAGACAAGTACAAATGGTAGACTTATAAATATGTAAGGTTCTGACAAGCAAAATTGTCATGCATGACACAATGGACCAACTTTCCAGCTGCAGACTTAGCAAATGGTTCAATATACTCTTTCCACTTCATACCAACTGAAAACATTATTTCTGAGAAGGTGCAATGAGTCACTCTCCTGTAGGTTAGCATCAGCCATACTGATGGAAGGTAGAAAGAGTTTTCTCAGACAATTAAGGTATATTCAAAGTATATAGAAAATCTTTTTGTTCCTTGATTTGTCGTTTTTCTCTTTCAATTTTGGATTAAATGCAGAATCACAATTTAAATAGTTATTTAATTTTTAATGCACTTACACTACGCTGTAATATTGTATGTGTATAAATTTCAGTTTACTTGAATGCTTAACACTGAAGATTCAATGAGCTCCTGAATTTGCTTCTTCAGCTGAAACTGTTTCCCTGATAACTGAATTTTAAGTCACTTTAATATTGTTTTCAGCTGGGATGTTTCCTATACCTGATTATTTGAGCAAAGACGTGATAAATCTGCTGCTGAAGTGTCTACAAGTTGATCCTCTGAAAAGGGCCACAATCAAGGACATTAGGTAAATACATTGCCACTTTCTTTTCAATAGGAAATGTTTGCTTGAATATTGAATTCCTTTCTGTTTGCTAAATTCAATGCTCATTCAAGGTTAACAAATTGCTTTTGCGACCTTGTTTTTATGGCATTGGGAGTTTTAGAAACTTATACATTCAAATCTGACTGGCCATTACCACATTCAGAAAAAAATATTAACTCTTTTAAAAAGGTTACAATCAAACCCCATTTTCATTTTAAACTGTTGAAAATGTTGTAATGGTATTCACTATTATGTCGATAATCCAATTTAGATCCTGCATCTCAATTTTAGATGCTTTCAAATAGTTTGAAACATGTTAACAGGTGTAACAGAAAAATTGTCCAAGTCATGCAACAGCAAAATTGTTCAATTGTTACATTAAGCTTTGAACTGTTGTATCTTAGGAATATCTTGTTGGAATTCTGTAGTTTTTACAACATTATTGGACTCTACTTTGAACAATAAGAATGTATTTAACTCTAAATTGAAATGATGATCCCTCTTTCTATTGTGACCTCCTGATCCAGTTTTTCTCTCCACTGTTCCCCCTTTTTAGGCTTATTCACTGTTCTCTTGATGGTTTTTGAATGGACTTTGAAGATGGAAACCAGATTATGAATGTTGGTACCATTACAGAAGGTCCAAATGATCTTTTTCCTCTTACCATTGCTCATTTCGGAAGACAGTGGGGCTGACACAAAATGATTTTAACTTGTTCTTTTTCTAGCTGAATAACTCAAATGGTTTTTCATTGCTTCTTATGACAAATGGTGTCTGAAAACCTGGAAAAAAAGAAATTCAATTAGTTTAGTGTTTTTTATTTTTTTTTTTTTTATAGATATTAAACACTTTGTTGAATGGATAAGTATCTCATGTTGTTTACATGATTTGGGCAATTTTGCTGTTACACTCAGTAAAATGTCAAACTGTTCTCTACCTTTGGGAATAGGGTAAATCTAATTGCTGTATTCTTTATATAATTCTGCAAATAATTTCAAATCTTCTTGTATCTCTATGAAGATGAATTAAGAATCTGATCAAATTTTGTAAGATGTGGATATTGTCATTATTATCTTTGTGCAAAACAAGGTTCTAACCTTTGGTGTGTCAGAGAATTGCAGCTTAACAGGTAAGTAAAATAAGTCTGTTCATATGAGCAACTTTGTACTGGCCATTTGCTGCTTCCAAATTGTTCTGCGACATAAATCATATTCAAATTTACCCATAATGTGCAAGTGATCTCTGAGTTCACTGGATTAAAATATATCGTGTGTAGGGGTAATAAAAAAAAAACTTATAAAAATTTTATTGTGCTGTAATTATGTTAATTTAATTATTTTTTTTATTTTCTTGGTATTCTTAGTTTTTCAATTGTATGAAGAGAATTTTTTTTTAAATGACTTTAGCATAGGCATAGTTTTTTTTGTTTTAATTAAAAATGCTTCTTTTTTCAAGAGTATAAAATGTTTGATTACTTTATTAGATATGAGTAAATGTGTTTCATTATTTATCTGTAATTATTTGAATACTTCTGAAAAGTGAATCTTTATTTTTAGGGAACATGAATGGTTCAAAGTAGATTTGCCTCACTATTTGTTCCCTTCCGCTGACCAAGATTGCTCTGTTGTTGACCAAGAAGTAGTCAGAGATATCTGTGAGGTAAGGAAGACATTTCCCAATTCATTATATATATATATATATATATATATATATATATATATATATATAAAACTTTTCTTTGTCAAAAATTTGCATTTCTTTGAAGTAATGACACTTACTTTAACATTATTTAATTGTTTTGTTTTTTCTAATTCTCTTTAGAAATGTAATGTGACAGAAGATGATGTCCGTAATGCAATCTACAAGAATGATCCTCATGACAACCTTCTTATAGCCTATAATCTTGTAATTGATAACAAACGGATAGAAACTGAAGGTATTTTATGTCTTATTCTCAAACACATTCTACCAATTTAATTATAGGTTTTGACTGGGAAAAGTAGGACTAATTTTGGTTTTTTTCTTGTTTCTTTTTTCTTTTTACTTCTCTCTTTTCTTTTTCTCTTTTCTCTCTTTTCTTTTTCTCTTCTCTTTTCTCTCTTTTCTTTTTCTCTTCTCTTTTCTCTCTTTTCTTTTTCTCTTCTCTTTTCTCTCTTTTCTTTTTCTCTTCTCTTTTCTCTCTTTTCTTTTTCTCTTCTCTTTTTTTTTCTTTTCTCTTCTCTTTTCTCTCTTTTCTCTTTTCTCTTTTCTTTTCTTCTTTTCTTTTCTCTTTTTCTTTCTTTTTCTTTTCTTTCTCTTTTTCTTTTTTTCTCTTCTTTTCTCTCTTTTCTTTTCTCTTCTCTTTTCTCTTTTCTTTTCTCTTCTCTTTTCTCTTTTCTTTTCTCTTCTCTTTTCTCTTTTCTTTTTTTCTCTTTTCTCTTCTTTTTCTCTTCTCTTTTCTCTCTCTTTTCTCTTTTTCTCTCTTCTCTTTTCTCTCTTTTCTTTTTTCTCTTCTCTTCTTCTTTCTTTTCTTTTCTTTTCTCTTTTTTCTTCTTTTTTCTTCTCTTTTCTCTTCTCTTTCTCTTTTCTCTTTTTTTTTCTCTTCTTTTCTCTCTTTTCTTTTTCTCTTCTCTTTTCTCTTTTCTTTTTCTCTTCTCTTTTTCTCTCTTTTCTTTTCTCTTCTCTTTTCTCTTTTTCTCTTCTCTTTCTCTCTTTCTTTTCTCTTTTCTTTTCTTTCTCTCTTTTCTTTTCTCTTCTCTTTTCTTTTTTCTCTTCTCTTTTCTTTTCTCTCTTCTCTTTTCTCTTTTCTTTTCTCTTTTCTTTTTTCTCTTTTTTCTCTTTTCTCTCTTTTCTCTCTTTTCTTTCTCTTTTCTCTTTTCTCTTTTCTTTCTTTTCTCTCTTTTCTCTCTTTTCTTTTTCTTTTCTCTTCTTTTTTCTCTTCTCTTTTTTTCTCTTCTCTTTCTTTTTCTCTTTTTCTCTTTTCTTTTCTCTTTTTTCTCTTCTTTTTTCTCTTCTCTTTTTCTCTCTTTTTCTCTTCTCTTTTTTTCTCTTTCTCTTCTTTTTTCTTCTTTTTTCTCTTCTCTTTTTTCTCTTTTTCTCTTCTCTTTTTCTCTTTTTTTCTTCTCTTTTTCTCTTTTTTCTCTTTTCTCTTTTTCTCTTTTCTTCTCTTTTTCTTTTTTCTCTTTTTTTCTTTTTCTCTTTCTTTTTTCTCTTTTTTCTCTTTTCTTTTTTTTTCTTTTTTCTCTTCTCTTTTTCTCTTCTCTTTTTTCCGCTTTTTTTTTTCTCTTCTCTTTTTTCCGCTTTTTTTTTTTTTTCTTCTCTTTTTTCCTCTTCTCTTTTTTCCTCTTCTCTTTTTTCCTCTTCTCTTTTTCCTCTTTTCTCCTCTTCTCTTTTTTTTTTCTCTTTCCTCTTCTCTTTTTCCTCTTTTCTTTTCTTTTCTCTTTTTCTCTTTCTTTTCTTCTTCTTTTCTCTCTCTTTTCTCTTTTCTCTCTCTTTTCTTCTCTCTCTTTTCTTTTCTCTCTCTTTTCTTTTTCTCTCTCTTTTCTCTTTTTCTCTCTTGTAATTAAGGCCACAAAATTCAGTTTTTGAAACAAAAAAATCTTATTTTGTGCTCTTTACAAAAAAAGATTCATTACTTAGTTTCTGAATTTAAATCTATGCTTGCTTTCACAGATGAACAATGAAATGATATACACCAATTTATTTGAACTTCTTTCATCTTGATGTTATAGCCGCAACATTTCAACTTCTGTACCCTCCAACTATCTTCAGATGCCTATTGTATTTGATAAAGTTTAAATGCCTTTTTTTTTTTTTTTTTTTTTTTTTTACAATCCATAAAGGTAGAAAGTTCTCATTCTGCTCTCTGTGCTTTATTTTCTATTAGTTGATTTTGTTAATTGTTAAATTTCATCTTTTTGCTCTTGCCACTGAATATAAATTCCCAAAATGAAACCAGACACTGATTCAATTTTGGGACTTTATAAATCAAACAAGAATTTTGTCCTAAGCAGTCCATTTCCATGGATTGAGTAAATGGCTCAATTTGAAATTCTGAGAAATTATGTTATCAAATATGACAGGCACCTGAGGAAAACAGGAGACAACAACAGCCAAAATGTTCTCTATAACAATTATGAGGATAACCGTTTGAAATAAATCCTTGTTCAGTGTGTGACAGAAATACCTCCTACTGTTGGATATTGGTAGAGGAAAAACCTTTAGCCTTACTTCAGTATGTGAGCAGAAATCAGAACTGGTGATAGCATAAACAGGAAATGCATCCGGTGGCTAAAATAACCAGGACATACAGGTGTTCTGTGCCTTGAATAAACAAAGCGCACAGGTGTCCTGAGCAGAAGAAAATGCATGCACATGTGGGCACATGCTGGAAGAGGCATGGCCAGATGAAGTTAAGTAGGCATCATACCAGAAGGCGGCGTATCCACGTGAAGTTACCTGATTCTTGATCTGGACAGAGAGGATGGCTAGAGTTCCACCGAAGATTTGTCTCCATCAATTCCCATGTGTGCAATCCTAACCTCTGTGATTCTCTCACTCTACCCATTTACCGCAACTCAAGCAATAAAGATATGTATATATTTTTAAATATGAATGTTTGTCACCTTATTTCAGCCCAGCAGCAATATACTACATGTCCCACCTAGATAATGGTAAGACATTAGCTAGATGAAGACACCATTGCTACAAGGTCTTACCATTGTGTGGGAGGTATTTCTGGCACACACTTTATAATAAATATAATAATTCCTCATCTTGGAAACTCAAAACAAAAAGAAAAGCAAGCTGCTATATTTATTACAGTAAAACTTACGATTAACTTTCTAACTTTAATGAACTGTTTATGTTGAATTGACATTATAAATACCTTTTTTTTTTTTTTTTTTTTTTTTTTTTTTTATAGCTTCACGTGAAATAAGGGAATTTTACCTTGCCTCTAGTCCTCCTCCTGATTCATTTATGCTGGTAAGTTCTTAAACATTTGTTACGTATTATAAAATTAGGTACTAGGAGGAACTCTCTATATTTCCATTCTCTTCTGCTGCTTCCTATATTGAAGTGGCTTGCAACCATATCATGTTGAAACACCAGTTCCTGTATGAACACTGAAGTTAAGCAATTTTGAGCCTGGCCAGTACCTAGATAGGTGACCACTTGGGAATATCAGATAATGTAAGCTCGTGTGTGTGTGGTATAATGGATAATAGTTTGGAATGAGAACTCAAAGGGACAAGTCCAAATTCTCATTGGGTTTGTTACATTCACTTATGTGCAAATACCCATTAGAAAGGTATGAATCCACCGCTTCTCTCTCCAGCTATGGGTTAAATAGTGAGGGCTTGCATCTAAAAATCATTATTTTGAAAAAATTGTTAATATTCACTTGCCAAAAAGAATACACTTTCAATCAAAAAATGTTTCCGCTTTAAATAACCTACAAAGGCTTGATAAGCCATAAAAAAGAACAAATCAATCCATATTGAAGTGCTTTTCACTGTTTTTCCCTTTTTGGTGAAGACTCCAACCAAGTTGCTCATCTGTAAGAAATTTGAAGAAAAATTTTTTTTTTTTTTTTTTCATAAAGTGGGCAGATAAAAAAATCTGAACTAGGTGTGTTTGGCACGGGGGAAGAGTAAAAGCTCTTGAACTTCATCAATTTCCTTTTCTGACATTAAATACTTTTTTAAAAATTTTAACAATGTTGAATTCTCAAGTGTATAAAAAGGTTTCATGTAATTTTTTTCTTTCCTCTTTGTCCAGTCTAGCCCCTTACGACCACACCCAGAACGAATGCCTGGTAAGTTATCTTTTAAATCTGAATATGAAATAAGATTTTATTTTAATATATTAGTTGGTCTTAGCCTAAATAAACAAATTTAATTTAATTAAACAGAAATGTATAAAAGTGAACTGATTTCTGAATAATCCACTGTAAATTTGTGTCCTCATTTTTACAACATCTCGCATTTCTTAACAGATCTGTTGTCAATGTAGGATATTTAAAAACAAAGTTGAAAATACATTACTTAAATTTTTTTTTCTATTTTGTCATTCAACAATTTAACAAATATGACTTACTTCTGTAATGTCTAGTTGCCCCTTTCCAAAATTTTTTATAAGTTTATTTTAATGAAAATAGTTGTTTTGACTAATTTTTTCCTCTCCTTTTTAGATTTTATTTCTCTTCTCATTACCTTCTCCATGATTTTGAATTCAGAACTGTCCTTCCAGGTTGGATTTATGACAGTGTGAAAGTGAATGCAACAGGCTAGGCAAAACTTTAAATTTGATACACTAGTTTTATTTTCTATACAGATGCCTGTCAGGCAACCCACAAATAATTTAAATGCCTATAAAATACTGTAATGTTTTGCACATTATTGCATCTAAAATGTTTTGGATTCAAGAGTAATAGCTGAAATCCTATGAGTCTTTAATGTTTTAATTATTTTTATTAAATTCTTTTTTACAAAACAATAATTATTTACCCAGCTGCACACAATATATGGTATTTATAAAATGCATGCGGCTTTAAGTGACAATGATAAGTTATTCAGTTACAAAAGTAAATCTGCTTTTTCTCTTTGGTTTTCAACTGTTTAAAATATTGTAAAATTGACTGTTGTTTTTATTGTATCTTTTAGAGCTGAAAAATGTCAACCGCACACTGGATCCCCTGCTTGCAACAGAAAACAAACTTCATCATACTCCAGCCAAGAAAGCTAAATGGCATCTAGGTAGAATTCAATGCTGAATAAAGATATTTAAAAGCATTTTTAACATTTATTTTATTCTCTTTTGTAAGACTTCAACTATTTAATCGTTTTAAAACTTGGTAATGACAAATTATGTCCAGTAGAAACTTATTTATTTAAACTATTTATTCTATTTATTTATTTATTTATTTTTATTCTATTTAATCTCTTTATAACTTGGTAATAATAACAAATTATGCCCAGTAGAAATTTTTAAAAATTGTTCGCTGTTTTTATAATATGGAACCTTAATTTTGAATGAAATATTATTTGCTTATTATATTCTTCTGATGTTTAGAAAAATATCTTTTGTAAGTATCCTCTAAATACATTATTGCATTCTAAATGAACTAATAGAACATTATACCAGTTTTTGAAATAAATTGGCCAAGTTTCAGCACCTCCCAAGAATCTATTTCTGTGATAATTTCCTCTTGACCTTTACAAGTACTCAATTAATATTTCTTTCACCTTTCTGGTTTGTGTCTATATGAGGTGCTGAATAGTATTTGGCCTAACCAAGAAGGGATTAAAAAAAGGTTCTGATAACTTTTCAGTACCCCTTGTATTTTTCTTTCCCTAGGTATCAGATCTCAGAGCAAACCTCTTGATATAATGTATGAAGTTTTTAGGGCAATGAAAGCTTTGGATTTTGTGAGTACCTCATTGAATCTTTTTTTGTTTTTATTCTTTTTTTTTTTTTTCTTGTTGCATTTGAATTTTATATAATTAAATTTTAAGTAAGATTTGTTTATTTGCACTTTATTCAGATTTCACACTTTTTTTTCTCTCTAAAGCTTTATGGTTTATATGTTTGATTAAGCTGTTTGCTGTTACAGTTTAGATAACTCTTTAGCAAGTTGTCAGCTTACTGCCATAGATAACTTAACTGTTCATATGATTTTACTTTTTTTTTTTTTTTTTTTTTATCATTTCACCCCAATCAAGTCAACAATGCCACTAGTATGTAGGAGGTTACAAGAAGTGAAAGTGAGAGAAAAGACTGATTATAGTGGGGATTGAGGAAAGGACAAAAATGGAACAGTGTTTAAGAAGACAGAAGGCAATTGACATTGATTTAAAATTTTTGAAAATTGTAGTTATCAGGGAAGAGAGTAGAAATGATGGTTGCATCTAGCTTGTTCAACAGTAAGGTGGTGAGACCTAGTTGCCAATCTAGTAGCAGACTTAAATTCATGTAGTTGAGGCACCAGGAAAAAAAAATCTTGTCAGAACAGTTATCCTAAAGATATTGGTGCTGCTTTAGCGTGTCTCCTACCACCACATTTGTATCCTATATTATCTAACGTAAGGGGAAAAGCAAAATTGGAAGGAGGGATGCCATTTATTGTTGTATTATGAAATTTAGAATCACTAGAAATAATAAAATAAGAAATTTGACTAAAAAAAAAATCATAAAACAAGATATTTGAATCCTTTAAATCAAAACATTCTGAATGTCTTAACATATCGAGAAAATGTCTGGAAAATGGCTTAATAATGTAGGATACAAATGTGGTGGTAAGTTACACGCTAAATCAGCACCAAGATAGTTGTAGAACAGGCAGAGGGAAGCCACGTCACATTGCTGGGAAAGTGACTGTAGATAAGACTGATTGTATTGCGGACCCTTCTCTGGATTTTGTCAAGAACCTTGAGATGTGCGGCAGAAGCACCAGACCAGATATGGCAACGGTATTCAATACATAGACGCATGATAGATTTATAAATTTTTTGGCACGACTTAGTGAACCAACCTCCTTTGCATCTGACGTAGCAATTGACTCTTTTATAGTCACTCCATTCATGTCAGGGGAAAACGTGCGGGCAAGAATAGATGCCAGGTTTACTTTGTCAGATGGCAACCTCTTGTGTAAAGGAAATTTTACATATTGTCATATCATGACCAATGAATGTTTGCACAACTTTGTGCTTCATGTGCACATCCAGGTTTTAAGATATTTCATAAAGGTTTAAATATTTTAACAAATTTTATTGTAATCTATTATTTTTTCACAAGATAGCAACATCTTGTACAAAAGAAATTTCTGCCTGAATTTCTGGAATGAGAAATTATTTACAGCTGGAATAATGTCACATCTTTGTAAATAATTTAAATAAACAAATTTACATGTTTACTTTGTTGATATGACAAATAGTTAATATTTGCACAACTTTGTTCCATATGTGTAGAGCCAGGTTTTAAGATTTTAGATTAAAATGTTTTAACATATTTGTAGGTATGTACATCTGTTAAATGTTATATTATATGTATTGATGTCTTTGAAAATAAATCTGTTTCAAACAGGCTACAAAAATTTTGTATTTTAATATTTTCTTTTTTTTTCTTTTTTACTATGAGTAAAACCCAACACAAATATTAGACTGCTAAAAACAAAAAAAATATACTTGGCAGTGAACAGTAATCCAAACAGTCATGCCTTTTTAGATGAGATAAAAATACACTACTTGATAAATGCTTAATTTTCAGTGATGAAAGTCCTGGGTATGACAATAAACTACATTGGGCAGCAAGGCTTCTGATTGTGAGATTGGAGGGTTTGAGGAGCATGGAACCACCCTTCAATTGCTGTTGTCCCCAAGTTCACCCTGACCCATTAGGGTCCCAGCTATGGGTAAATTGTTAACCTTCAAACCTAAGGTTTGATATGCTGCTAAATGATAGAAACATTTTTAAATGACCCACAATGTATTTTATCTGTAGTTGTAGACATACAATTGCATTCAAAATATGTTTAGTTGAAGCCCTAAATTGTGTTCAAATTATTTAGATTTTGGCATTAAATGACCAATGGGGGTTGATAATGCCATTAAACAAAATCAATCAACCAACCATTCATGAAAACCAGTAATAATTTCAGTTTCAATTTATATATACCTGTTTGGATTGCAGTACCAGAAACAATGAAGCCAAACTTCTTTTTTGTATGGATCTCTTTAGACATGTCTACAGGTCAAAAAAGCTACAGTTACTTATTTTATTTGTTCTTTTAATTTGAATCCTTTATTACAGTTAAGTAAAATGGCATAATGTTTTTGTTTCTGTCTGAATTTCTGTGCTGATCTGAGGAATTATCATCATTTACTGAATTTACATTGTCCTTGTCTTTTGTTGTTGTTATCACAACTGCTGACACATTGTAATAATGAAAAAGATGAGGACAAAGGTTCAAATGTAAATAATGATTTTTTTTTCTTCCTCTTGTGTTGTCACATATTAGATATTGTCACATTCTAATCTTGTTAAAGTTTTAAAGAAAAGCAATCGGTATGATTATTAGTTGATTTAAATTTTTAATTTGGGTTCCATTGTAAATTAAAACCATCTTCAAAGATAATGTTACTTCTGTTCCACAATATTTGTTACATTTGCATGCGCATTTCATACATTAAATGTAACATATATTATGGGACAGAGGTGATACAATATAGCATTTTAAAATGCCTTTGGTTTATTTTTTATATGTTAAATCTCTGAAGATCTTTAGTTTTGAAAGATTTTTAGAAAAAAGGGAAAGTCAGTAAGAATCCTTCATTTAAAAATATAATTTTAACCTCTTTATGAAGCAAATCTTTTGTCAGAATTAAAAAAATGACCATATATCATCAAATACTAAACACCAACACATTGTTCTGTTTTTTTTTTTCTTTTATAGGAATGGAAAATAGTTAATCCATTTCATGTAAGAGTGAGACGAAAGAATGCATCTGGAAGATATGTGAGTAATTTTCTTGCTATGTTCAGAGTTTGAATTTTCTTCAATAAAAATACGTCTTCTGTTTAGTCTATAGGTTCATGTTGGCCAAAAGAACATTCTTTCCTGCAATAAAATCCTGGCCAGCTATATTTAACAACATTCTATTTCTTTATTGGAAACCCTTCAGATTGCTGTCAATATTGCAGTATAAATGGTTGCTGAAGACATTAGGTTTATAATACCCAGAAATTCATACACAGATGTGCTTAAGGACATATGCCACAGTGGATAAAGGCATTAGTTAGATCCAGTGACAGGACCCAAAGAGTGTGAGTTCAATACCTGGTTAAGGCAGTGAAGAACTTTGAGAGAGGAATTAACAGGAGATAACTGATAACTGACATCCATTAGACATGGCACGTGGAACTAGAACAATCTACCCCAGTGAGCGGAATAAAGGGTTCCAACCACCTGAAGAAGGCTAGAGTGTACAACGGCCGAAACGTTATGATAAATATAGCAACTAAGATGAGGACAATAGTCTGAATAATGTAAACAGTGTCCTGTAAATATGAGAAAATTTTGGGTTAGGATCATTTGAGTGTGTCAAGATAGGAAATTGAATGTTTTTTCTGATTTACAGTTCCTGTTTTGTTTTTTTTTTTTGTGATGGGGTATTGCCTCTGTCCCAAACCTTTTTATATTTGTTTAATGAGTAACATTTGCATTTAAAAAAGGTTAATCACTTGTTTAGCAACGTTTTTAAAAAACGTTTGTAGATTTGTAATTTAATCATTTATAATTATATTTGATGCTGGGATCATCAGAGAGTGTCTAACATGGGTGTAATAAATCTTATACATTCTTCCAACAGAAACAAAGTTGCCATTTTTGTGCAGAAATGTCGAAATTTGAATTGTCAAATTTATATTTTTTGACTAATCAGTCCTGTCCTTGATATGATTATAAACTACATCCACATCCTGAGAAAGACAATAAATTACATTCAACAGCAAGGCCTCTGATCAGTCAGTTTTGAGGAGCATGGAACCACCTCTTAATTACTGGTGTTTCCAGGTCCACCTTGACCCAGGGTGGTAGCACATGTTAGTCTCAGCTATGGGTAAATATTCCCCCCTTCCCCCCCAAAAAAAACTGAGGTCAAAACACTATGAATGTTTAAAAATAGGTTTAATACCAGCAATAAATTTTGAAAAAAAAATATTACCAGCAATAAAAATCTTGTCGGCATTAAATAACCCATTGAGGTTGATATGCTGTAAAACAACTAAACCAATCAGAGCCCTCAAAAAAAAAAAAAAAAAAAAGAGGATGCCACATTTTCTAACACTTACTTCAATTTTTCTAAAGATTGTTTGTATGTGTAGGAGGTTCTATGCAAAATCTTAATGTCTGCCCTACTTCATTCATATATATATATATATATATATATATATATATATATATATATATATATATATATAGTTTATATTCTTGGAAAATGAAGTAATGTGGGCTGTTATTACTATTTATTTTTTGTTTACTCAGTGCTGAAATCTTTCTTTTTTGATGTCTAGGTGAGAATGAGTTTACAGTTATACCAAGTGGATCAGAAAAGTTACCTGTTAGACTTCAAGAGCCTGAACTCTGTTGAACCTACAGAAGGAAGTACCTGCCTCCCTGGGCCCTTCATTCCAGGTGCAAGTAGCCAGCTTTCTATAACTCCTTCTACAGCCACATCATCTACGTTAGCCAGTACCAGTACGTGTCTGGCTGCCTCTACCTCCTCAGGTAAATAAGTTTTTTTTCTCCCCCACCGCTCGGTGGTTCTGTACATGCTCCAGAAGGGTGGAATATCACTTTGCTTACTCTAATTGACCTGCTAACTTAAAGAAAACTGTATTTCTGTCTGATTTTCTGGTAAGAAGACCTTGTTATTTACAGTCAGGCTAATGTCCTCATCTATGTTGTTACCAGGACAATATTCTAGATGATTAAAGCATTGGTTTGTGAGTTCAATCACTGGACTGGGTAGTACACTGAATGAAAATAGGGTGAGCCTTAACTGAGAAGTACAGGGTGTTCCAAAAGTCGGGCGACAATTCTTGTGAAATAGCAACCAGGGAAAACGACATCATCTTCCATAATTTGACCAATAAAATTTAATATATTGTCAGATACAAAAATATGATTCCATTTGGTAAATAAATATAAAATTTACAATGTTATCAATGGTAATACGACTTTTCAAGCACCCTGTACTAAAAGGAACAATACAGGATATTCTGAGACATGGAGAGTGGAACAAGAATAAATTATTCTTGTAGTTTAAATTAAGGGTTCAGTTAAAAATTCCCTAATGTGTTTTTTTTTTTTTTTTTTTTTCCAATTCATCCCAAGCAAGATGATAATGCCACTAAGATACAAGAGGCTATGTAGAGCAACAGACACCTGAAGAAGGCACATGGGTACAATGGTTGAAACATTGTGGTAGTGACAACAAAAATGAAGACATTAAATTAATGGAAATAAAACTTGAGGACATTAAATAATGTAAATAAGATTTTATTTGTATTTGAAATTTTGGCAAACTTTGATTGTTGAGCCCGAAAAAAACAGTGTGTCAAGGGGATGGTTTTTCTATTCATATTGATATTATTTTAACTAATATAATTTTAAGTAATTGCCAATTGATTCGAACTTTATAAAATTGACAAATGATAAATATGGCATTGCATTAATTTTATTAGTTTTTAGAATGTTGTAAATATAAATTTACAGCAAAAATATTAAACACCAATTGACACATTTGGCATAGGAGGGCATATTCAACATTTGATAATTTTGCACGAATATGTGCTTAAAGATTTTAGGCAGTTTTGATCAACATTTCTTTTCATGGTTAGCCACAAGGAATTGTAAATGCAGGACTACCTTACATTTAAGTAAAATAATAACAATAATATTTATTACAGGAAATATCAAGTTTTACAGAAACATTGTTGACAATTATCTACTTAGTTACATAACAAATAAAAATAATATCAATTTTGATGCTATATTTGATTTGTTGTTAGGTATTTTTCATTTTTTCCTTTATTATTGGCAGCGTTTTACAATACTTTGGTTGCAATGCTAAGTTTCCTAAGTTGAACAAACTGGAGCTTTTTCATTTACACTTTGTTACTTCTTTTTTCCATTGTTTTTAGATCGCTTTCTTCCAGTCATTTTGATGGGCAATAGCAAAATCCTGAAATTTAGAATGGTCTTATTCCATTTAAAAAAAAATAAAGCCTGTAAAAAGGAATATTTTAAATTAATATGACCAAAAATAAAATGCTTTTGACAAAAAACCCTAATGATTTCACTATGTAACAATAATGGAATGATATTCCACAGACAAATCTATGGTTTATGTTACCTCATCTCATTGCATGGTTACAAATTATAAACCTAAATCAAGCTTGAGATATTGTGTAATCAGCTCTAATTTTTTTTGTAAAATAATTGGATATGATATAATGAATAATTTGCAGTGTAAAAAGCATTTTTTTTTTTTTTTTTTTTTTTTTTGTTGAATATGTCTTCCACCAAATACATCATTGCTTATTTTCCAAGAATAGTTCTATCTTTACAACATTGTAAAAAATTATACAATTGAAACTAATGCAAGGAGTGAAGGTAGTTTAAATAATAGCGATGCCAATGAAAAAAAAAAAAACTGCTTTTTGACATTTTAAATTTTTTAAAAAATTTTCTTTTAAATCAGTGTTCAAGAAGTTTCATAATGAAAGTGATTGTTTAGCTAAAAAGCCTGTCTGGAAAGTATCCAGCCATTTTTGAACGGCATTGATGTAACTGGAGAATCAGCTGCACATGAACCATTACCTGTAGGCTTTATGTAGTCAGCAGTGAGATACCATTGTGTCCTCATCATATTCATATTAAATACATGTCGAGTTTTCTTGACTGATTAAGGTGGCTTTTGAGTGGAATTCGATGAATAAATCTTGGATAAAATATCAATACTAACATTGAAAAGCCTTCATTTCTGGGAGACGTTCAACAGATGCAACACCTGAAAATGTTGAATGCATGGAAGCTGCAATCAAGGTTGGTTGATCTTGCTTAGCAGCATATTTGACCTATAATGACAAAATGTAAATATTTTGTATGCAATTTTATTTTTAGTTTTTATTTTAAGATAATAATGGTTTCAGTGATACATGTTTTACTGATTAACCCATAGCTGGGGGAGAAGAGATAGACTGTAAGTGAATATAACGAACCCAATGGGAATTGGAACTTGGCTCTCTGAATAACAATTCCAAATCATTATCCATTAAAGCACTGGCACATCCAAGCTTACAGCGTTTGGTATTCCTAAGCAGTCACCCATCTAGGTACTGATCAGGTTCTATGTTGCTTAACTTTGGTGATTGTATGGGAACTGATGTTTCATCATGATGTTGCCATAAACATACAATCAAGGGAAATCAGTCATAGTGCATGAATTTGTGGAATCACCAAGACTTTTTGTTTTTTGCCATCTGGAAAGTATCTAGCTATTTTGAATATCTTCATTGGCCATTCTTCATATCTTGTGTAGCATCTCTCGGCAAACTATCACATCACCCAGGTCCATTCTGCACCCCCACCACCCAATTTGTCTCCCTACGACTTCTAGCCTTTCCAAAAGCTAAAATCACCACTGAAAGGGATCTTTTTCAGATTGTGAACAAGATTAAAGTGAATTGAACAATGCAGCTGATAGTCCAAAATTAAACCTGAAAAATGGAAAGAGATACTGGTGAGTGTGTAAGTTCTCAAGGGAAATCATTTAAATGAGATTAATCTGCCATTGTCTTAGGCTACTTTTTCATTAGTAGTAAATGGTTGCATCATTTCTGGACAGACCTCGTACAAGTAAAATTATTTTCATGTTTACTTACCTAAAATACTTAGCTTTGCTATAATCGTCAAATATATATTATATATATATATATATATATATATATATATATATATATATATATATATATAAATTTTTTTTCTGTGTGTGTGTGTGTGTATATAACAATTGAGGGGCAGTGTGCAAAATTTTGACATGAGATGCACAGACATCAAGATCCTCCCCATTCACATCCACATGCAAAAGGCTACCATGCTGAAAACTACAAAGAGACCGCCCCCAACCCCGAACAATGGCAACATAGTTCACAGTAAGAACTAAATTCTATCTCTTGTGTCCCCTGTTAATACTAAAGACACACACACACACTTTTTTACACAAATGACAACCCACCTGCCCAAATTAAAGTTATATTTGTTTTTGAAAAGAAAAAAAAAGAAACACTGTTTTTCACATATGTACATAAATTACATTTCTTCCTAATTGGCCCTAAAACGGAAATAAAATACAGTTAAATTTGTAAAACAAATATTCAACATGTTTAATGTTGCCTGTAACTCATGTCTCTCTCACAATTTTTAATTTCTTTTTTTCTTTCCAAAAACAAATATAACTTTGCACACTTCTCAATTGTTACATAGAAAAAAAATTGTACTTGGATTAAACAAAAATTGCTTACAATATAATACATTCCTTCAGGACATCAATTTTGACGGCATGCGTACACTAGTTTATTGAATATTTAATGATAATAATTATACCAATAAAAATAACACTATTTTTATTTCTTTTTAAGGCTTGTTTGAAATTAGTGTTGAAATTTACTTTTTTTTTATTTTACTTTATTTTTTTATGAATTTCAATATTTAAAAATTAAAATGTTTTAAAATATTTTAATGTCCGAATATAGCAACTTCCCTGTTACCAGATGGTTCTTAATGGTGGAAATTAAACATTTTTGTGGTTAAATATTGAAATTTAGCAATGATAACACCCAGATATTGGAATTTAATATATTTTATGTTAATGTCCTCTCATTTGAATTCAATATTTTTTTTTCCAGTTCCTGTTCAGCCTTGAATAGCTTTTAATGTTAACACAGTTTTTAAGGGTCAAATATCAAAATTTAACATTTATGCAATTAAGTGTTAATATTTAATAACTATCAGAGCCCAGATGTTGATATTTTTGTAACTTTTTTTATTATGGCTGGGCAACTTTTTGTACTACCACACACATATATATATATATATATATATATATATATATATATATATATAGAAAAAGTTTCAAATTGAAAATTATAATGTTTTATTTTATGAAAGTATTTATTTATTTATATATATATTTGATATTTCAAATTGTCCTCAATTTTTCATCAGAAATAACTGTTTGTTACAAATAAATTAAAAGTATACATGGCTTCTCATTATGCTATATATATATATATATATATATATATATATACACACATACACACTAAAAGTCTGTGATTGCTTGTGTAGTGTGTCTGTCTGGCACATAATGATTTACGAATTGTTTATACAGTATTTTTATTTTACTTTTCTTCAAACAGACAATTTTTTTTTAATTAAAATATTTTTAAGTTAAAGACAGATACAGTTGTTTGTAGAGTAATTATTTCGTCCAGTTGTGTGTAGAGTAATTATTTGTTTCAGCTTCCTTTAAACAATGTTTTAAATAAACAAAAAATATTCAAGTGAATATGATTTGAAAATATTTTTTGGCATATTAAAAATATTTTTAAGTTAGACAGACACAAAGAGATCCTGCTTTGCTGTTTCATCCAGTTGTAGAGTAATTTATATTTCAGCTTTCTTTGAACAAACCATATTTTAAATATTTAAAAAATATTTTTGGTATATTTTAAAAATATTTTTAAGTGAATACAATAAAAAAAATATTTTTGACATATTAAAAAATTATTTTAAGTTAATCTGATTTAAAGTTCAAGTTTATCCCAGAAGTTCTATTCCTATTAAATGCTGTAAACAATCAGTAAAAACGTTAAGAATGAATTGGAATATTTAACTGAATCATATTAAAATTAACTTTTATTTATATCGAATGTTGAAATCAACTTCATTGTTTTATAACCTGAACACACGGGTCATGGTAGTATGTATAATGTGTGTGTTTTATTTATTTATTTATATATATATATCACACATCTATCAACCAAATATGTATAATATATCTCTGATATTGAGCTTTCTATATAATTTATTTACATATAATATATAAATAATTATACATATCTTATTTATTACACTTTTCACATACATATATATATATATATATATATATATATATATATATGCACGCACGCACACACTGTACTATTTTGTTGTTGTAAGTAACACTTATATTAATGTCTGATCACTGAGTATCCAAACTCTTCAATGCACCAAAACAAATTTTACATTCAAATTTACAAAATATTCTGTGCTTAATTATCAACACTTTGTTTTTCTTCTCCCACCAGAAATATTTAGTTTGTTTGTGCAGAAAATGAATAAAGTTAAACAAGGGAGTAATTGTAAAGTCAGTGGGCAATGATAAAACCTTTCCTATGCATAACAGATTTAAAAGAATCTCATTGCAGTCAACAAAGAGTGTAAACAGGGAGCAATCCAAGATTTGCAGTTCTTGTACAATCCAACTTCATGAGATTTCTTGATATTGAAAGAGATGTTAACCTTTTAACGTTTTTCATCCGGTGCTGAAGTAGAATTTTTGCTGTGTGCAACTGAATCAAGAGTAAAACTTTATGAAAAAGTGGATAGAGTATTTGGGCAGAGTGGGGGTTGAAAACAAACCTGTAATTTTGTGGAGAGAAATAAACATTTTCCTGATACCAGTTTCATTATTCTCTCTAGTGTTAGACTTTTTTCTTACAGCATTTGGGGATCTTACTTATCAATCGACCCTTTGTGTACAATGATGATAGGTGCATTTTGCTGTTCGGATATACTGTTTTTTTTTTTGCCCAATACTCTCGTAATGTCAATGTTTTTTATTTAAAGACATTAACCTTTTCCCAGAAAACAGAATCACCAAAATGTTTTTTCTGAAATGTCTTAATTTTTAAGCTTTTCTGAAATAGCTAATTTTTAAGGTTTTTCTATTAAAAATTTTACTTGGTGGATTATTTTGGTTAAATGTTTATCAATCAATTTCAGAAAATATTGGCCAATATTTATATTAGTTGGCAGAAAGGAGAGTTTAAACATAATTTTTCTTTTTCTATGTCTGGGTCTATTTATTTTAGTATCTTAAGATTCCAGGTAAAATAATTTTTGTCTAAAACCACTTTTTTGAGGGCATCATTATAAGATCTCTTATTTTCATTGAAAATTTTATTATTAGAAGATAATCTATTAATTCTTGTACTTACAGTGGTACATCGGGTCCCGCAAGCCTTCTTTGTGCAAACAACGTGACTGTTTGTTGGGACTCGCTGTCATTTGTCTCTAGTTCCTTTTGCATATTTTTTTTTTTTTTTTTTTTTTTTTACAATTCCTTTTATTGTACATTTTTCTGTGTCAATTTTAAATCTCCCGTTGAAGCCTGAAGAGCGGGAGCGAAACCAGTTGCTTCACCTGTTTATTTTTTTTAATATGTCTCGTAATATTAAGTTTTACACTGAATTTTTGATCATATATATATATATCATATATATATATATATATATATATATATTTTTTTTTTTTCTTTAATTTTTAAATTTTATTAGTTTTATTCTATTTTTGTTTGTTTTTCTTTCTTTGTTTTTCTTTCTTTTTAATTAAGTTTATAAAAAAAAAAAGGCTTTTATATTTCTCTTTTCCAAAGTTGCATTGATTTGGGTTCCTTTCAGAAAATGCCAAAAATGCGACATTTTAATTATGCAGATATTTTATTCTTTCAGATGTTTCTCTTAAAAAATGGCTTAAGTAGCTGGTCAATAATATTTCAATCTTTATATGTTTACTTTGAAGTTGGCTTTTATTTTCAGATCCAGGTGATGAGAGCCATCAAAGTCCTGGTAAGTTGTCTTCTAATTTCAATTAACCTGCAAATATAAAGAAACAGCATAGCTTTTTTTTTTTTTTTTTTTTTTGTAGCTGCATGCCACCTTTTTCTCTCACTCCCCCCATGCAGGTTACTCTCTTTGGTTCAGCTATTCATTCCTGGGCTTCCTCCCACCTCGCTCTCTGGGTTTCTTATGGAAAAACTATCTTGTCATTGGTTAACTTTAATGTTAAGGCTTTTGCCTCATGTGTCACAGTTTCTACTTGGTTAAAGCTGTCCAGTTTCACAATCTTTGATCTGAACTTCTCTAAGCTGAAAAGCTCTGCAAAACAAGTATCCTTTCTCTGCTAATGATAATATTTGCTTACCAAAGTTCACATTTAGTACCAAACCTGACCCATGTCTCAATGTCTATTTCTACTTCTCTCTGCCAGGCCTTATCAAGCAGAGTGGATGTTGTTATTTCAAAACAACCTTAGCTCATCCCACACAACAATGTTGTCTTGATGCTCCTACTAGTTAGATGTGAGCCTGATCAGTACCTAGATGGCTGACTGCCTGGGAATACCAGGTGCTGTAAGTTTGGATGTGTGGGTGGTATAGTGGATAATGGCTCAGAATTGTTAATTGGTGAGCCAAGTTCCAATTCCAGCCAGCTTCATTATATCCACTTATGTGGAATACCTTTAGGAAAAGGTATGAATTTGATTCTTTTCCCATCAGGTATGGGTTAATTAGTAAGACATCATTAAATCTTTATTTCAAAAAAAAAAATTTCTTACAATCAAAAAAAAAAATTTTCTGGCTTTAAATAACCTGCAAAGGGTTGATAAGATGTAAGACAAATCAGTCTTAGTCAGATGTGCCTCTGCTGCTCACAGGGTTTTCTTTTGTGAGTTGTTTTTAATTTTAAAATCTTTTGAAAAAGGAAAAAAAAAAAAAAAAAAAAAAGTCTTCAGATTCCCTTTGGGTAAAAGTCAAATAGACTTCTCTTCCCCTGTATATAATGTACTTGTAAGTACCATTCCAAAATTTCTGATTTCTAAACATTCCCAATGAGAGATTGTGTATCTGTGTCAGAACAGGTTTATAATCAAGATTGCCATCTTTATTCAGAGAACCTATTTCAATTTTTGTTGTATGAAAATCTTATCGAATATTTATCTTTTTATATTTCCATTTAAAAGTTGTCCTCTTATTTGTCAGGATTCACTTGTCAATATTGAGTTGGCTTAAAATTGAGCATGTATATCTAAAGAAAATACAATTCAAATTCTATTTGGTTAAAAGGAAAATTCTCAGTTTCCAAATAAATTTAATGTTCTACAAACCTTGAGTACTTTTCTTTCAACCCGATATATTACTTATGTGTTAAGGAAAATATAGAATTAAATTAAATTAAAATAAAAATTTATAAAATTTTATTGAGATGTTAACCAGTATCTATTTTAATATATTCCCTTTAAGTATTAACTTAGCCAAGGAAGAAAAGGTGAGATTTGATTTGATTTTTTTTTTTTTAAAAACCTACTTTTAGATCAATTGAATCTTATTTTCATAGGTGATTCAATAATTCTTCCAGATCAGTGTTCGGCAACCTTTTGCTAACTATGTGACAACTTAGGGTCTTAAAATCATTTAGTGCGCCAACAGCATATGTATTTTTATACAATTCATTATACCTGTTCTATAATATGTTTTATATCTTACTTATTATAAAACGCATGTTGTGTGTGTGTCTGTAACGTTTATATGTTGGATCGAATTTCCTACATTTTTTTAGCCGATTTCAACAAAACTTCACAGGACTACATAAAATTACCTTGTGGTGGTTCTAACGGGGCCGAAAATGGGGAAAAATACAGTTGTTTTTTAATAAAATCAATTTGAAAACACGATTAAAGACACATCGTGAGAATGAAAGGGGAGAACTCACCAACGAAAATGTAAACAAAAGAGCATGATGAAAAAGACGCCGAACTTGAGACGAAAACAAAATTTTATCATCTAATGTTCATATTATTATTAAAGAGGAAAGATCAAAGTATTTTGGGGGTATTTTTTTACATTTTTTAATCGTTCCTAGCACGTCTGAAATTTTCGTTAAAAATATTGTTTTTTTTTTTTTTTTTGTCAAAAAAAAGGGCAGATAATCATTTTCAATCATTTTTTCGATTTGATAAAAAAGATTAAAATCTTACTTTGATATTCTTTTAAAAGTCAATTATCATTTTTTCAAAACTGATTTTAATAAAAACAGATATTATACTGTTTATTTAAAATATTTTGAACCAAGCTTAACTTAGCTTCTGCATGAAAAATGTAATTTGAAAATAAAACAAAGCAGGTCATAACCTTTCGCGTCGCTTGACGATTGATAAAAGGCACATTCATGACGTTTAGATAACATACGGGAGTAGAATTCTTTCTACGGATGGAAGGAAGTGAAATTATTTAAGTGAACAAATTATTTACCTTGTTACTTTTAAGGAAAACTTTCAGCACTCTAATTTTTTTTTTTTTTTTTTTTTTTGTACTTAGCTTTCATTTTACGTTTACGATGCTTTATGGAAAATATAAAAGAAATTAAAAAATAAGACTGTTAATAGTGAGATTAAATTTCATAAAAAAAAAGGTATCTAATTAATTTAGGTACCTTTCTTATGAAATTTTATCAGAAGTGTACATAAAATACTATAATTTTATGTACATTTATTACATTTTACTGTGTTATTTGTATTTCCATTCATTTTATTATTAATTTTGATATTTCATTTATGGAAAAATGTCATAACTGAGATTAATATAAAAATAAGATCATATAAATTAAAGTTTAGCAGTAGTTAAATTTCATAAGATGATACTGTTACTTGTAGGTACCCTTCTCAGTTGAAATTGAAAACTCAAATTAACTTCTCCATACGTGTTTCGAAAAAGTAAAGGGCTTAACAGCGTAGAACAATGCTGAACTCAAATAATGCAACTAAATTGTATTCTGGTTGGTCTTCCGTGCTTGATAATTACTGTCCGACTATAAACACAAAATTACATTTCTTAATTACCATGGCTAATCTGATTGGTCCAAATTATACAATTTTCAAAGCGCTAGACAATGACAATCTCAAACGGACATTTTGAAAGGTTGATGTTGCTTTTAACTAATGTTAAAATATTTTTTAAAATTCAATTTAAACATTTTTAAAAATCTTTTTAAAATTAAAGAAATAAGAAATAATTGTATTAAAAATTCAATTTTCATTGAAAAAAATTTTTGCTTTCAGAAAATATTGTCCATATTCATAAAAGCAAATTAAAACAAATAAAAGCATTTGAAACTAAATAATATATTTGTTTTATTGAGTTTTGTATGTTACAATTCACAGCTGATTTTTCAGGTACGTTGGCCAAAAAAAAAAAAAACATGATTTGCATTCTTCAAAGCCTTGTGCTTTTAACTATTGTAATCACTAAAACCGATGGTCTCAATTTCTAGAGTTTTCATAAAATTAGTTATGGGGTGTTAATAAATATAAAAAAAATATTTCTGCCATGACTTTTAAAAAAAAAAAAAAAATTTCAATCATCTGTGAATAGTTTCTGAAAGTTTCATTAACATCTGACAATTATTTTTATTTTTGCAAGATTTTCCAAATTAATGTGTGTAAATACAAAAAATGTGCTAAAAATTATCTATGTTATTTACTACCCCTTGTTGCGACAAAGAGAAACAAGGTTTTTAAATCAAAATTTAGAATATTCTAAAAAAAGATGGAAAAATTTTTAAAAAATAATTAAAAAAAATTCTATCCTCTTCATAAAAAAAAAATAAGCATTTTTTGATAAAATTTTGTTTTCATAAACTTTGGCGTCTTTTTCATCAGACTATGCTCTATGTTTTAATGATTCCGTGGAGTGACTTAGGTTAAAAATCATAGGTTGTTTGTGTGTGTGTTCCTTTATATATGGGATCGGATTTCTTACATTTTTCAGCTGATAAAACAAACATCCACTTTTTTTTTTTGGCAGGTAGTATTTCTTATTGTCTTGCACACTTTTTTCTTTATTTATTTACATTCAGAATGCTTTAAAAATTCCATTTACAAGACAATTGTTATAATAAAATTCTATTCACCAATCGATAGACTCATAACGATTGTAAACAATGTTTTTGTTTGAATTTGGGTTTGAACAAAAAAATTAATTAAGACATGTGTGTCCGTCAACCTTAAACAATAATCTTTGTCAATTTTATTTTTCAGTCTTTATGATGGTCGATACTTGATCTATCTCTTACTGTTACATCCTCGGGCAACGCCGGGCTCTACTGCTAGTAATATATATACTTTAGTATATATTAAAATTGAAACAACTAAATATCATCTTTGCATTGTAGTAGTTATTGGTTCTGACTTTGTGATATCATTTGCAGCTACATGCCATTGGAAACTGCTTGGCGTTCCATTTGTTGCATGTATGCAGTAGGTTGCTGACCTCTGAGCTAGATCATTTATAATGACAATATTTAACCATTTTGGCTTTGTAATTTTTTATTTATTTATTTATTTTTTTTTTGTAAATTAAAAGGATCTAAGTAGCATAATTAATTTTAAAATTTGAACATCTGATCAGTGCTCCCATTTTTTTCTCTCTCCCTCCATTTTTTTTTTTTTTTTTTTTTTTTTTTTTGCAAACTGAAGTAAATGTTAATGCTTGTCAGTTGTTGACTTCTTTGCACAGTCATATTGCACCAAAAACATCTGCACTCATGTATGCACATAGTTGATATATGTGCAAATCTAAAGCTGCAACTCTGACAATGCAATTTCTTTTCTTGTTGGTAAGCATGAAAGAATATATTGGATACTTTATTATTAGATTAGCTTTGTCTTAAAACGTCTTCAGTGCTGTGAAAATAGACCTCTCATGCCATATACACAAGGTTGAATCATTCTTATTCCCTTCATATTCCATTTGTAAGAAGGAAGTTCCATTTGAAGAGCCACTACTTTGTGGAACAGATTTCCAAGAGGATGCTTCCCTGATCATTACAATCTTAACCACTTCAAGTCTAAGCTCAAACTTTATCATTCCTATATACCTTCATAATCTACAATTCCTTCATCCATAAAGACAAAAAACAACCTATTTATTAACTCTTTACCTTATATTAAGTGAACAATAGCATAA